TTCCTGAGGCTCACATCACAGTTGCTAGGCGCTAGTCCCGGCTGCCTAGCAACAGCTGTTTCTTTATTCTAGTTGGGTATGGAGAGCAAGCCTGACGCCTGAAGATAAAGGTCAGGGCGCCTCTCATTGCTTTGTCATGGACAGAGCCCCGCTAATCAGAAAGGTGCAGAGTGGGGCCTAGTCAATCCTCCTTCACACAGTGACACTGGATTCAAACAGTCAGTCTGTCTACTTATCCTCCGAGTGTCTCCAGGGAGGCATCAGATAAGACCAGGTTTATACACACAGGACTTCGTGACTGAGAGCTTGAGACACTGTAACATAAGGTGTATTTATGCTATATAATTTATACAACAATAAGGTTAAGTAAAAACGTTTGAAAGGAGAATAGACATTCTCATGTTAATAACTTGAAAGATGGGAGGGGATTCCAGTTTTAAACATTCTAAAATCTTTGTCTTAGAAAAAAAATCTAGAGTGAGTGAGCAAGTCCACATTTTATTAAAAAAATTCAGAGTTAGGTACACATGCTAAAATTTCGGCAGGATCCATTAAAAATGCATGATATGGCAAAGGCCAATCAACTTTTCCTGTGAAGGGTTAGGTAGTTCATATTTTAGTTTTGCTAACCACTCTGACTCTGTCCCATCTTATAAAGCCCCTTCCTGTTTACTGTTTTATGTAGAGCATAAACAACCACAAAACTCTGCAAATGTGATATGCTAGGCAAAACTGGGCCTACTCCAAGAGTTTTTATTGAAACCGAGTTAGATTTACAACGTTTATATCCAATCTCTTTACACTAAGAAGTTCACACCTCTACCACAGTATTCCAGAGGCTAAAGTACTTGAGGAAAATCAACTATAGAAAAGGTGGGAACATCCCAAACTCAGGAAGTTCCACAGGGTGGATGTGTTTCTCGGGCTCTTGGCCTATTGAGCATCAAATTACCTTTCAGGAAGGAAACTGAGCCTCTGAAAGAGGCTCTGAGTAAGAACAGCTGATTTATAAAAGTAAGGAGCTTGATAAATATAACCTTGCTGAGAATAGTCCTCCTGCTCAATTAGCATATCAGAGTAATTCTGGTGTTACATTTACAAACTGGCCAATATTCTACTAAATAATGTGCTTCTTAATAAGTGAATTACAGAAAGACAATATGACTTTTTAGAAATAAAATCTAAAATTACTTTCCAACAGCCTCCATGAAAATAGAATTTTTATAGCCAAAACATAACATTAAGACACAGAACACAATTATCTTTTATGAGAATTTTTTACACAATTTCACAGAGTAAGAGAACACATGGGTTTAAAAACTAAAGGAAACTGAATTTCAGAAAGGACAATGTTATGAACAATGCACCCAAACTGTTTATTCTGCTAAAGAAAAAATTTCTGACAGAATTCGGGCTCTGATACTTCAGAAGGCTAACTAGGGGGCCGTGGCAAGTGTAGAGGCCGCTCTCCCGATTCGCCACCTCCTCGTGCCCAGTGCCAGCCTCACGGGCCGTCAGGGCAGGTAATGGAGAACACTGCTAGTCAACCAGACAGAAGCCATGACCGCTTCACGGACTTCTTTACACCAGACTTTAACTGAGGACAGGGCTTAGCTCCTTAAACAATGGGATGGATTTTCTTTCTTTCTGTGGGCAACAGATGTGGATGTTGGATTTTGTTAGCATATTAAGCCACTGCATTGATACTAAGGAGTTACTAGTAGGAATCATGGCAGCGGTAGAGGAGTACTCATCACGGTAAGAATGTCCAACACTGATGCAGCTCTCAGCTCAGCGCCGGGCACTGGGCCTGGGACAGTCCTTGCAGTTAATTAATGTTAGTCATTAACTATTACATTTAATGCATAGTTACCTTGTAAAGAAGGGATACTGCTAATCTCACTGCACAGATGAGGAAATGAGGTGGAAAGAGATGAACCTTAAGTCAGTTACCCAACAGCCCATGGAGAGTGAGTAGTGGAGCCAGGATTCAAGCCTGTGTAGCCTGATTTCAGGGTAAAATTAACTTATTTTATCAATGGAATTGAAATATATATATATATATATATATATATATATATATATATATATCACTGAGGACATCAAAACAAACACATTGCATTGTCTTGAAGTTAAAAAAGAAAAGAACACAGAAATATTCACCTTATAAAATCTGAGTCCCCCAAACGACAAAATATATTTCAATCGACTTATATAACAAGACTGAGAATGCCACCATCTGTTCCACAAGCTATGCTCTGTATTTTTGCCTCACCCTCTCAGAAGTGAGACACTAACCACTGAATCCTACAGATTAACCACAGGACTAAGAACTAAGGCGCCTACATCTGCATGACTTTATTATTTGTGCTAAGAAATTCCTACCCACAGAGATAAGGCTGTAAATCAGTAAGTGACTTCATTGTAGTGTCAGGAACTTCCCCAAAGTCCATTTACACCAACAACAGACCACTCAAATGGTCCTCTTTTCACAATATCCTCTCAACTTGGCAAACAGCTCACTGATCAAACAGCTGTGTACTGAGGAGACTTGGCTAAGATCCTGCCACACTGTTTCCACGAATCCTAAACTGGGATCTCACCAACTCTGCCCAGTTTCCCTCAGATCTTTGCACTGACGGCCACCTTCAGGCTCTCAAGGTGGACCTAACAATCCAAGTCCGCCCGCACCTCTCTCTGGGAAGTCTCGTGGGCTCCCCAAGGTGTGCGCTCTCCACTGGAACAGCAGTCATCTGCGCTTTGCTTGGTCAGCAGCTATCCTGGCCTCAGGGGAGCTGGTGGCCAGCCTCAGGGGACAACCTTGCTTTCCAGCTGCTCTCTTATCAACAACTTTTCTTTAACCTCTTTTTTTCTCAGATCCACACTAGGCCACGGGTGAAATTAAATATGCCAGGAAATGGGATCATTATAGAAAAAGATAAACATAAACCAGCCAATGAAAGGGGGGCAAGTGAGTCTAATAATAAATTTAATATGAAACTTTACACTGTATTTTATGGAAGCCAGATTATTAACTCTTAGCTAAATTGGGTAATTATACATTTCAAAACAGTCTTAAAGCATCCCTATAATTGAGGTTTAGAAATAAAAGGGGGGGAAAAACACCTTGAAATGCCAAAGTTTAAAATGTTTTGACACTTGATTAAATTTTACAAAATTTCCTTTTACTTTAACTCATTTACCTCAAATGCTATGTATCAAATATAAATATATGAATTATAGTTAATTTTTAAAAAACAACTCTGACTAAAAAGGATTTAAATCTGTGAATATATAAATTAGTCATGTGACATCATTACAATAGATTTGTTATATCTATCTATGCAATTATTAAGAGCTATAACTAGTATTCTCTTTGATTTCTTTTTCCATGCATCATATTTTTCTTTAGAAAAAAAAATCAGATAAAGATCAAATGGAATGAATTAAAGGGACACGATAAGCTTTTTATAAAGTTGAGGCCTTCAAACAAGAACTTGCCTCCTCACATTAAAATGTGTCTGTGTATTGATTGATTGATTGTGTGTGTGTGTCCAGATAAGAAATGTGAGGGTAACATAAAATACCCATTTTCTTCCTAGCCTGTCAACCCAGCCATTGCAAATGTCACTGCTATGCCATGTGACACTCTGCCGGGACTGCAGAACAGCGGGCGTAGAGGAAGAACCCAGAGGTGACAGGAGACCAGAGTCTGCATCCTGGCTTCACTGCTAACCTGGAAATGACTGATTCTCATAGAGCCTCATGTACTCGGGAAAGAATGACAAACCCACCATTTGACATGACTGCTGAGATTAAAAGAGATAGCGTACAGGTGTTCAGTCAACTACCTGGCACATATGGTAAGTTCTCCATGAATGTTTATTACCCATCAAGCCTGTTGCTCCCCTCTAATTATGGTCCTAAGGATCTATAAGATATTAAGATAATTCTGAGACAATCAAAGAAGTATTAATTATGCAACAAGATCTTTAAGGCTCATATCCTTTCAACCAATACTTCTACTACTAGGAAATTAGCCAGAGGAAAAGACTGGAGATAGTGTCAAATACTTACATACAAATATATTCTTCAAAGCTTTCCTTTTAAAATAAAAAAACTGGAAACAATATAAGTATCCAAATCTTATACCAATCTAGAAGGTTGTATAGTGTACAACTATTTAAATATTAATGAAGAATTAAGAGTAGCCAAAACTGCTCCTAAAATTAAATTGAAACCACAGCCTATAGACCTATATCTTGAACATGTTAATTACACTCACATGTGTCAGTTACACACAAATACATACATATGCAGAATAAAAAATTTGGAGGAAATATCAAAATGTGAACAATGACTATCTCAGGATAATTAAAAACAGGTAATCTTTATTGTTTAGTTAAACTTTTTTATATTTTCTACTGTGTACCTAAATTATTTTAATACTAAGAAAAAAATTAATCATTCAATTATGTTTATTATTTAGAACTAGAGGCCTGGTTCATGAATTCACCCACCAGTGGAATCACTTGGCCAACATCTCCCGAAAGGTTCTGGATTGTGAGAGGGCACAGGCCAGATCAAGGGACCCCACCAGTGCACAATGGGGCTAGGGAGGGACTAGGGAAGTTGGCCAGCAGGGGAGGGACTGTGGGAAGGCTATAGGGCATGTCTAGCCCATCTCACTCAGTCCTGATCTGCCAGATACCAGCAGCAAGCTGAGCTATGAGTTGGAGCATCTGCCCCCTGGTGGTCAGTGCATGTCATAGGGAGCAGTTGAGTGACCTTAGCATATCATTAGCATATTATGCTTTGATTGGTTGAATGGGCAGCCAGACAACTGGACACTTAGCATATTAGGCTTTTATTATATAGGATATTCTAGTTTTTTAAGGATGATTTAAAAAATTACATCCCATCTCATTTCCAAAAGGATTTGCTCATAAGTTCCTATGAACAAAATAAGTTGGACATGTTGTATTCAAAATAGCACTTACCTTCGCTGATGGCATGGGGCTTAATAATGCAACAGGTACAATTGGTAAATTTAGCAGTGTTTGCTGGTCCACAGACTCCACTTGAAGGAAAAAATAATTCCATTTCCTAGAAATAGAGAGATGATCTTGACATGTGTAAAATGGAGATCAAGAATCAGAACTATTGTCAGTTAAAACTAAATAGTCACTATGCTCCTGTGATAAAACTAATTTAAATGAACCATATTCTATAGCTAGATTTAGGCAGTGTTTTCTTAAAGTGTGTTTTTATCAATTTCAGAGAGAGGAAGGGAGAGGGGGAGAGGACAGAAACATCAATGATGAGAGAATCATGGATCAGCTGCCTCCTAAATGCCTCCTACTAAGGATCAAGCCTACAACTCAGGCATGTGTCCTAAGAGAGAATTGAATCATAACCTCCTAGTTCATGGGTAGACCAACCGCTGAGCACACTGGCCAGGCCAGGCTGTGTTGTTTTACATGTGGTTCACTGAAACAACAACCAGGCCATGTGAACTAGTCAAAGATGGTCACACGCATCAGTACCATTACCTATTAAACACACTTCCCTATTTCTAAGCTTCTACCACTATTAATCCAAACAAACATTTACAAGAGCACTTTACTAATTTTACTAATTCAGAGACTTAGCAGAAAGTAAAGTTACACAAAAAAGTTTTCATATTACTTTGTGATGTAAGTTGGTTAAATATTTTCCATAAAGCTCCTTTCCTTCAGCCTTTACTTTTCCCTAAACTGACCAGTAAGGAAGGACAAAGATATATAACTTTCTCCCCTAAATAAAATTCAGACTCAATTTGATAAGCTTTAAGTATATTGCGGTTATACTATATTTTATTTAACAAATTGTAAAGTATATGGCTTCACTTTTTCATAAATTTTACCTTGACAAGATCCTATGGTAATCTCACTAAAGCATTTGACTAATCTACATTATATCTTCAACAATAAATGGTTGCCAGTTAAAAGTTTCTCCCAAACTTGTTCATGGTAATAATTTATATAAATACTAGAGGCCCAATGTACAAAAGTTGTGCATAGGTAGGGTCCCTAGTCCTCGCTGACGATCAGGGCCGATCTGTGGGGCAACTGGAGAAGTGATAGGGTCCCCTGCTTGCACTGGTCTTGACCAGCACTGTCCATCAGAGCCCCTCCCCACTGCTGTCCTGCTCTCATTGGGCCATTGGGGCCAGCATCACATTCCCTGTAGGCTGAATAAGTCAGGCAGAAGCAGGCCCTTCTAGGAGCAGTAAGATGGGACACAGGAAGGGAGAGACTGGTGAGAGGTTAAGCGTAGAGAGGGCAGCGGCCAGGTTGAGGGGAGCTTAGGACGCTATGCCACAAGAGAAAAAAGTTCATGGAAGGGTTTGCAATCATTTAATTGTTAATACAATTTGTTTTTAAGAAGGCCACCCTGGGCATGGTTAATTTTTACTTGGGCAGGATAGAATTTCCATAAACTGAGTAACAGGAGAAAAGACAGGAATCAGGAGGCTTCTGCAGTAGCCCAGAACATAGAACAGTGATTGGACCATAGCGATCAGATTCAAGGTCTCATTTGAAAGGCCAGATTCAAGGTCTCATTTGAAGGGATTTACTCATAGACTTGTTAGAAAAGCCAAGTGTTATAAAACTGTCTAATATTATTTAACTGCACACAATACCAGACTAAAAACCATCTTAAATGAACTGAGAAATGTCTCTGGATGCCAAGAATAAACTTGTACTTCGTTAACTCAATGTCAGTGTAAACCCAGTGTAACTTCTTATTTGTGTGGATTTAAAGTAAGGATTGATGTAGGAGAACTTTTTCATAAACACTAGGTAGATATAGGAAAGAAAGGGATGTTAAACTTGGAGTTAGAGTGCTAGGAGCCAAGGAGAGAACATAGCTTTTTGAATATTTGCTGTCTGTAAACTGGTATTCTCACATAAACTCAATAGTTTAAACATTGATGATTCTTCTAGGAGTGGGACAAATATTTTAAATGGAGAAAACTTACCTTGGCTGTACCCAGGTTACCAGCTCCCAGGGGAGATGTATCACTGAAACACTGTTTAATCCCAGGCAAAAGGTCAAGGTTTTCTCTACTAGGAGATCAGTTGCATCAATCCACCCTCCATCAGCAGTGACGGAAATGCTAAACTTTGACATCACGCATTTCCCGAAACCAAACTGAGTGGCAGTATGTGAAACACCTTACTCGGGCCGCACAGGCGAAGGAGTCAGGGCCGTGAGCAGCGTTTCTGATGCAATCGGTTCCAAAGAGGGCCCGGATGCTGCAGGGCGCGTCCGCGCGCGCCACCACGGAGTTGGCGGGTCCAAGAAGCCTCTTCCATTCACAAATGGCATCGTCTCTTAAGATCTCCATGGCGATCACAGGACCACTGGTGATGAACTGGATCAGCTCACTAGGAAACAGGCGGAAGATGGGTGTGCTTCATTGTTCTGGCCGACTAGGCATCTCTCTTCTCTTCACAGGATGCATCACAATTTGAGCACTTCAACACATACATGGATATTACAATCTCAGGACTACTGGGTAAAATGGGTTTTAGGTGGAAAAGGTGCATTTTTCATAAATCAAGTGTCTTGCAGTGCCCTGAATTGCTAGTGCTATCCAATCAATTACTATGAGCAGAAAAATCACCGTTTCATTGGACTGAGACTATTTCACTGCCTTAAAATGAACCCTGTTGATCTATGCTTCAATCAATAAGCATTAAGTTTGTCTAGTTATAAAAAAAATCAATAGGCCTTCAAGAAATACCCTTTTATTAGCATAAAAGCTGCAGTGACTTATTCCTATCTTAAATTTCAAAGCCTACACATACACTGAGTCAGACAGTACCCCAAGATATGAGAAACAAAGCCTCATTTTTTTACTTTATTTGTGCACAAGGCAACAATGACAAGTTTAACTGTCAACTGAGATAAGGGACACCATTCCTCCTGCTGTGCTTAGCGGAGACAATCTACCTTTTAAAGAAAGCCCATGCTTCTCTCTCACCTAAGTGTAGAGAGGCGGACCCTCCTGGAGACAGGAGCAGGGCACCGCAGCCTCTGTGCCTTTCACTCCTGACTGCCACACACACTTCCTGTCCTGGTGAACCATGTTCCATGAGCCAACCCTCTTCAGTACTGACTTTTTAAATCATTTCATGTTGCCTGGCTGGTGTAACTCAATGGTTGCACATCAACCTATGAACGAGGAGGTCAAGGTTCAATTCCCCATAAGGGCATATGTCTGGGTCATGGGCTCGAACTACAGTGTCAGGCATGCAGAAGGAGGCAGGTGATCAATGATTCGCTCTCATTATTGATCTCTTTCTCTCTCTCTCTCTCTCTCTCTCTCTCTGAAATAAATTTTTTAAAAATTTTTTAAATCATTTCATGTTGAATATTTTTAAGAAATAATACAGGAGTATTATTAAATAACACAGGAATATTCATATCCTCCATCCTAAAAGGCCTCCATGACCTGCTCATACATATTCTACTGGACTTTAGGTGCCAAAATAATTAGACTTAAGGAATCTAAGTCAAGGGAAGAAATGTATGTTTATCCATTCAATAAGCATTTAATGGTCATCTAGTACAAGTCAGAATAGGCTATAACAGAAGCTTCCCTCAACCTATGAGGGAAACCTATGACCTAATGTCCTAGTATCTCAGAACACACACAGCAGAATGAGCAGGGAACGGCATGTCTGATCATAAACGACGGTGTTCCATGACACTGCCTCTGTTCCTGCAGCTATGTCTTTTGTTATGTGCTTTCAATACAATCTGAAAACTAGTTAATTTATCCATTTGATAAAATTTACCTCACACTAATTACAAGTAAGACATTAAATCAGGAGCTGCAATATAATGCTATAAACGTATACAAAGAGTATAATAAAGAGTAACTTCCAAGCTAATTATATGTTCCTATTTTAACAAGGTTTGGGAACATTTTATAACACTTGATTTAAAACAATCTATAACATAATAAATTTCTTATATAAAGCTTTTTTTAAAACCACTTTTCTGCACAGGGTACCAAATGACACATCTATCACAGCAGCTTGGCTAACATCTTTCTTTATTAAAGATACCAGGGCTCCTTTATCAATAGTGATATAAGATGCACAATGATCAGCTAAATTTAAAAACAAACCAAGCCCTAGCCTGTGCAGCTTAGTGGTTTGAGGTTTGGCCCTCGCACCGAATGGTCACAGTTCAATCCTTGGCAACCCTAGCCACAGTTGGCACCCAATTGATGTTTCTCTCTCACATCCATGTTTCTCTTTCTCTTCCATCTCTCCCTCCATCCCTCCCTCCCAACTCTTTAAGAAAATATCAATGGAAAAAATATCCTTGGGTTAGAATTAACAAAACAATAAAATATAAAATAAAAGCAATAGAAATATTTAAGACATAAATTCAATTTCTAACATATATTTGTTGCTATGTTTTAAGAACAAAATGTATATAAAATTATTTAAAATGTAAGGGTTCTAAGAAAATTTATATATATATATATATATATATATATATGAGAATGCCAAAATAAGAGTTTAAAAGCACAGCAGAAATTAATATTAGACATAAAATATAATTATCACTCCATGTTAAATCTACTAAAATCTAAAAAGAAAGCAATGCTCCTTATAATTTAAACAAACATCCTATTGCTTCTTATTCAAGTTTAAGTTACTTAATGATGAGATAAGGACAGAAAAGCCAATTTTTAGGAAATAATTCTTTGCAGCCCAATTGGCATGGCTCAGTGATTGAGCATGGACCTATGAACCAGGAGGTCATGGTTTGATTCTCGGACAGGGCATTTGATTCTCAGGTTGCAGGCTCAATCCCCAAATAGGGGGCGTGCAGGAGACAGCTGATCAGTGATTCTCTCTCATCATTGATGTTTCTATCTCTCCCATCCTCTATAAAATCAATAAAAATATATTTTAAAAAAGAAAATACTTCTTTGCAGTTGCAAGATGTTGCTGGGGTCCTTTTGACAGATTATTCTCATATAGCAAAACTTTTAATTGTAAAATTATGACTCATTTTCCAGGATATTCTCCATTAGCCTCTACTTTAGTACCTACTTATAAAAGGGCTTTGCCTGATGATCTATATGAAAATCCGCTGCTTCTTTCCTATAAAATAATAAAAATTATAACAAGTTAGCAATTACATAAGAAAATTATTTCACTTTACATTAATAACATAAAAATAAAACCCTCTATTGATTTTATCTGAGTGTGAATTATTTTTAACCAAATATTCTGCTTAAATACACCTCCTTTCCATTTTTCTTTTGCATATGCATATTACCAACTTAAAAGAAAAATTCTAGAGATCAAGGGGAAGAATTTACAAAACTGAAATGGATATACGTAGTGCAGTCTACAATGAGGTAACACTCACTCCATGCCAGAAAAACTCATTAATGTGGTATTTCAGAAGAATCGGCAGCAAGACAACAAAACAACCAATTCTATCTTTCAACACAAGGATTATGATTGTGTTTTTCTCTTTTGAACTGCTAAAAGAGAAAAACACACAATCATAATCTTTAATATCAACAAAAAGGAGAAAAATCTTAATAAATATTTTTTCCTACATGCCCCTGGCCATTATCTTCATTCAAAATCTAAAACTGAAACTGCGATGAGAGTTCATGATTTTTCCCCATCCTTCTTGTCTCATTCTTCCTTAAAACATGTTGATGGAAGAGATACTAACAAGTGTATCCCACCTGGAGAAGAACTGCTTGGTTTTATTCAGATATGCATGGGTCTCTCACAGGATCTAACCACTGATTCTTCCATGAAGTATTTACTGACTGCCTATCGACTGAAGCCTTTATCCAAGAACTAGGAAGACCCAGTAGGATGAAACTCAGCTGCTGCCTTTAAGAAACTATGCTAATGGAGGGGCTGACGCTGGAGCCAGTGAGTTTAGAGAAGGCTGAAGTATTGGCAGACCTCCCGTGGGTCTCTGGTGGGCCTAGCATGTCTCACTGTATGAGCTAGGAATGTGAGGCCCTGACTGGTCTTTATCCCGCCACTTCTCAGAGTCCTGTTCATGGTGATTATCTTTGAGGGATGAGGTCATGTCTCTTCAGTACAAAGAGCAGGCTTGTTTACTGCTTCTGATGAAACAGTGGTAACTCAAGTTCAATGCTCCGCACTGTGATGCAATCAATTGTGCAGATAACACCCAGAAGGGCCCAAATCCCATTATTCCCATGGCCATGGAGGAGGCAAGGGGAACCAACACAAACATGACGTCCGTTGCTGCTTGCTGTGCCACACAAGGTCCTCTGTCTGTGACCCAGAAGTCTCCTGCCTTTGGCAGCAGCCATGGAAGAGTACCAGACTACCTCATTAGCTTTGAGCTGGGTAAAGCCAAGACTCGAGAGTAGCATTAATAGAGATGCATGAGATGATATGAACAATGAGAAGAAGGTATCTTGGGCATCTCTAGCATGGGAACTGGAAATGTGGCAACATAAAAAATGTTCCCTCTCACTGAAACTACTGAAATGTATCCCCATAATCGAGTTCCACTGCCTGATAGGAGATCAAGCATTCTCAATTGTAACCACTATATGCTCAGTGGACAAATTTGACTACTTAGAAAGGGTCATGACCTTGGTTTCCAAGAAATAATAATGATATCACTAGTACTAATGCTACTACTACTAATGGCAAACACAGAGGCACACCTACGATGGGCCAGGCTTTCTCAAAGCACCTGACATACAGTAAACTCAAGTCGGCCCTATGAGAACTTTCTGGCACAGGTGCTATGATGACCTACATTTCACAGATGAAGAGACTGAAGCACAGAAATAAGTTGTTCACAGTCACACACCGTTACAAGCAAACTAGCTCTACACTCTGCTCTGAAATATAAGCCTCCTGCCTTCCTGGTAAACTTAGAAAACACCTGCTCAGATAGAATGGAATAGGTATATTTCAGGTATATTTCCCAGTTTCATATATGTTGGTTGGGTGGAGCTAAATACAAACATTTCCAAATGCATCACTTTTGAAAATCTCAACAATAACACTCCCAAGTCAATGGGAATAATGCGACTTCATTTCTCCTTTCATTTCTATCCAGTGTTCTACTGATGTATTAGATTACAGTGAGCACACAGTGGGTTACAATGGCAGCACACAGGGAATGAGGCAGTAGGATCTGACAGCTCCTGCTTACCAGCTGCCTTGTGTTTTCTCATTCTAATTAGATAACTATTCAATTTATCATTCAGTGCAGGAATTTAAATTTTTAAACAATGAGATGAATGATAAAAGATAATTTTAAAAAGGGGGAGGGGGCCCACCAGATATCCCATAACTGGAAATTATCAACAAATTACCTTGAGAGCATCATCATTTTGAGTTTGGTGATAGTAAACCCAGCTTTGTTTATTATTTCAATTATTTCTCCAGCTTTGGAAATGGCATTTGGCTTAATCAGGGCTAACGTTCTGCAAAGAAAGAAGAAAGTTTGAAAGCAGCTCAACAAATTCTACTTTTAATTCCCAAGCAGTGGTTGTCTCCCTACTCAAACATCACAATAAATTATAAGTACAATGAAGGTCTCTAAAAACTTCTGCAAACTAAGTTAACTACTTTTCCCTCCATAAAATCAAAATAAGGTACCCAATATAACCATAATAATAGCTTAGGGAAAAATACATTAAAATTGTAATTTTAATGTGCCAAAATTGGAAAACACTTTTTTAAAAGTTCTAGTTCTTAGAATACGTTCTTTGAAAGAAAAACTTTTTAAAACATTGTATTAAATATATTATCAGCTTGATTTCTAATCTCACTGTTTTAACATGTATGGGAAATAATTATAAATTCTTCTATTAACAATTACATATTGCTGAAACCTGTTTGGCTCAATGGATAGAGTTTCGGCTTGCGGACTGAAAGGCCCCAGGTTCGATTCCGGTCAAGGGCATCTACATTGGTTGCGGGCACATCCCCAGTGGGGGTTGTGCAGGAGGCAACTGGTCGATGTTTCTCTCTCATCGATGATTCTAGCTCTCTATCCCTTTCTCTTCCTCTCTGTAAAAAAATCAATAACATATATTTTAAAAAACAATTACATATTATTCACACTCATATTCATAGCTGAGTGATGCACAAAAAACCAAATGCCTTCCCACTTGGTGATGAACATGGTCAGCAAACACCACCCTAACTTTTTAAAAATATATTTTTATTGATTTCAGAGAAAAGGGAAAGGAGTAGAGAGAGAAACATCAATGATAAAAGAGAATCATTGATAGGCTGCCTCCTGCACGCCCCACACTGGGGATTGAGCCCGCAACCCAGGCATGTGCCCTGACCAGGAATTGAACCGTGACCTCCTGGTTCATAGGTTGATGTCCAACCACTGAGCCACGCAGGCAGGTCCCACCCTAACTTTTTAAATCTCTCTCCTGAAATGCTGCCCCAGAGCAATGCACTCGCCTCCGAAGCCACAGGACTAGTGTATTTTTGATGAAGGAGATCACCTGGGTGCCCTCATTTTACTAATGAGGAAATCAGGCCCAGAAAGGCAACCTGGCTAAAATCTCAAAGCCGGTCAGTGGCATCTTCAGAACAAAGCAGCTACCTGACGGCATTCCTAGCCTGCACTTTTCCCGCACCACAGACCTGTCACGATTAATGTTATTAAAAGGAACATCATCACAAAACCCAAGCCTACTATTGCCAGCTTCATGTCTGGTCTCATTGCTTTAACATGTATGCTATACATTGATTTGGAAATAATTACAAATGCAAGATGAAAATCAGCCCGGTGGGAGTCACTCAGTGTATGTGACACAGACTGTGGTCAAGAACAGCAGCCACTTCCACTTTATTTCCAGTTGTGCGACAGGACATGCACTCGCGGATCCACAAATGGAGATTGGTGGGGCTTTTTTTCTCCAATGAGACGCACGTGGCAGAGGCTCCCATGATTTAAACAGCCTTACTCACAGCTGGATGTAACTGATGGCTGGCTATTAAAACTTTTGAAAAACAAATTATTCATCTTGGTCTGTTCAGTACCAGACTATCTTTCTTCTTTGTTTTGGAGCAGATGAGTCTCCTACGGTATTTTATATCATATGGCTTCATTGAGCACAATGAAGACGAGTCCCCTTTTAGCTCACATTATTTAAATATGACAAGCCAAACCCATCAACTGTCTATGCTGAACTCTGGGGGAACTTTTGCAAACCACAGCTCTTAAAACACAAGACGCATCAGCACTCGTCGGCGTCTGCGAGCAAGAAGCAACGTGAAAAACACGAAACGGACAGGACTTAGTTTAAGATGCATCTCTGACTTCTCTTAATGCCTACAGGAGACAAAGGGGTGCTCACTGCAATTAAAACCCTAAACCCTGGTCATATCTGTTCTGCTTAACTGTTCCGTAGATGACAATTAAAATGGGCTTTGGAGGGAAAATAAGACAGTATCAGCGATCATGGGCGTCATTTAGGAGTGATGATGGCACCATGTGAACAGCGCCTTGCTTTCTGCTGCTGTAGGATGGCTACCCCAAAATGCAGCGGCTTGAACCCCTTCCTCAGGATCCTGAGGGCTGGCTGGGCAGTGGTTTCACTGGGGTCGCTCACGCAGTTGCGTCTGGCGGGGGACTTTGCTGGGTGTGAGGCTTCTCCTTCCTCCTTCACGCACAGCTGCGTGTCCGGTGTCCCTGCACTTAGCAAGCGCCCCCTGGAGCACAGCTGCTGCTGTCTCTTTGGCCAAAGCTGGTCACACGGGGAAGCCCAGTGTCAAGGTCAAGGACACAGCAGCTGGAAGGGTGGCTCCCTGGGGCATCACCGCAATGAGCTTCCCCTCACCTGCTCCGAGGCAAGCTCTCAGCACACAGCATGAGATGCTCTCAGAAGAAAACCAGGAAGGATGAAAACCATCCTCGGACACTAACACTTCTCAGCAGTGGCAGTGAAGAAGTTTGGCCAGCCTTCACAAGACTCAGGCAGGATAGGGATTTCTGAAAAGCAACCATCCTCACAATCAAGCAGAAAGCATGTTCCTCCTGCACCTTCGGGCTCAGAATGGAGACTGCAAGTCTGGATGCGATGAAGATGACCAAGCGCACACTGTCCCACTGACATCCTGCCCGGCACGGCGCTGCGGGCTCCGTGAGGGCTGCCGCCTGCGTCAACTTTCACCACGTCAGTTTACGTGACTGTTGCCAAAGGTGTGCCTTCTTTTCCTGAGCATGAAGAAGCTCGTCCTAAGACAGAACGCTAGGCTCCAATTTACGGTTTCTTTTAAGTTTTGTTTGCGAGGGCGGGGTGTGTGCTTGCGCAGGGTGAGGGAGAGCCTTGTGGGACAGTTGTGGTTTGGGGGAAGGGCCGAGCCAAAGCAAAGATAGACTGACTAGGTATTAAACAATGATTGCTTCCAAAACGAAAGAAAAATGGGAATGAACATTGCATTAACTTGGCAGTACCGCCTGCTGGTGGACTTGAACGTTAACTACCAGGTCGGGGAGCAGACCCCACAGAGGGTGCTCTGCAGTGATCTGGGCGGGCGCTCCACCTGAGGGTGACCAGGTAGAAGGCCTGGGATGCTCGGGCAGCACAAGGCCCTCACCCAGGTGGTCTGGGAACTGCCAACTGTGAACTCCATCGCCAAGGTTACTACCACGCCTCCTGGGAACAGTTGGAGCAGACACAATCCTTCCCAGGAGAAACTTCACTTCATCCTTATCTCAACTGCTTCACATAACAACACACAGCACACATATCCCACACACATACACACGTGGCAATCTTCCCCAGTGGGGGCACATGTGGGAGGCAACCAATTGGTGTGTCTTGCATCAACGTCTCTCTCGCTCTCTCTTGCTCGCTCTCGCTCTCTCGCTCTCTCTCTCTCTCTCTCTCTCTCTCTCGCTCTCTCGCTCTCTCGCTCTCGCTCTCACTCTCTCTTGCTCGCGCTCTCTCTCGCTCTCTCGCTCAATGGAAAAAATATCCTCAGGTGAGGATTAAAATAAATTACTTAATTAATTTTTGAAAAGGATGAAAGAAGGAAGACCATGTAAACATCATTTGAGGAAAGCCAGGACACTACTATATCATCAGGGAGACTTCATGGTTAAGTCCATCGCTGGAGATAAGGACCATCTCTTCAGAACAGCAAAAGTTCAATTTTCCAACATTTAACAGTTTATAAACCTAGTGACATACCCTCAAAATTAGAACATAAAGATGAACATAACTATGAGGAAAAGTAGACAGATGACAAGTATAGTGGGGCATTTTGACACAACCTTGGTAATTGATAGAATCAGCTGTAGAAAAAATAGTGACTATGTGAAAGGTGTGAACACCATAATCACAAATTTGACCTGACAGACACAACTAAAAAAGAAAAAAAGGAGTAAAATGGTAGAAATATGTACAAAAATACCAATAACACAACATATTTCAATGTACACGTACTTACCTACCAGTGAAAGTCTAGAGCTTAAGGTCCTACTTTCCCCCATAAGCCATGTTTATCCCACATACACCAAAACTTTTTCTATTCCAATATTCTGCTTCCAGTTGAAGGTATGTCACTAGGATTGCTGCGGGTGGATAAAGTTGGTATTTTTTTTCCTGCAGGAAAGAATTACTGCCTCACTGAAACTGGTTTGGCCTGCGAACTGAAAGGTTCCAGGTTTGATTCAGGTCAAGGGCATGTACTTTGCTTGTGGGCACATCCCTAATAGGGGGTGTACAAGAGGCAGCTGATGGATGATTCTCTCTCATTGATGTTTCTAACTCTCTATCCTCTTCCTCTCTGTAAAAAATCAATAAAATAGCCAAAACTGGTTTGGCTCAGTGGTAGAGCATCGGTCTGTGGGCTGAAAGGTCCCAGGTTCAATTCGGGTCAAGGGCATGTACCTGGGTTGCGGGCACATCCCCAGTAGGGGGTGTGCAAGAGGCAGCTGGTCGATGTTTCTCTCTCATCGACGTTTCTATCTCTCTGTATCTCTCCCTTCCTCTCTGTGAAAAAATCAATAAAATATATTTTAAAAAATCAATAAAATATATTAAATAAAAAAAAAAGAATCACTGCCTGAGACTATGGGCATCACCCAGGTAGCCAGGTGAGGAGGAAATCACAGACTCTAGTCCACAGGATTCTAAAATGTCTCAACACTGGACTGAATCACTAAAAATGTCTGCATTGTAAAAATTAGATTAAAAACAACAACACAAAATTTCCTCCCCAGCTAATGTGTACTGAATGAAAAGAAGACTACCGCACGGCTCCTTACTTTTCCTTCCTGCTGCCCAGCTGGCGAGCTGTGTACTGGTCCCCGTAGTCGATCAGCACCAGCTGCCGGGAGAAGACGTTCACTTTGTTGCCGATGAACAGGTCTTCCAGGTGGAGGTCATCATACCTGGTCCGTTTCAGAAAGGTGCGACGGTTCTTCACGTCGTGCTAGAGCCGAACGACAGCGGGGATGGGAGGGATGCTCATCTCCGGGATTAGGAAGAGCCCTCCCTGCTGCTTTATTAAACACAGGCTACATTCTGCTTCACTTTGCTACAAACGCAGACCTAATTTCTTTTACAACTTCTGTATTTCAGAGTCTACTCCAGTAATAACCTAAGAAATTCTCCTTACAAATGTGCTATTTCTGAAGAAGACACTGACTATAACGATATGTTTACTGCCAAATCATCGCAGCGAGTCACTACCTCTGGCATCCCAGAGAAACGCCCAATGTCTGCTTTCTCGCCCAAACGAATCTCCAGTGCCACAGGGGTTCGCCGTAAAAGGGGCTGCTAAGGAAGGGAAGCAAAGAAATAAACGGGACCTCAGCTGGGTCTTCTTCAATAGGGGCCTTTTGCAGAGATGACAGCTTTCAATGTTGGGGACGTGTTTGTGACCATGAGCAGCTTTATCTGGAGCTACTTACTATCACTTCATCCAAAACATGGATAATTCCATCCAGTTCCCTAACTAAAAAATATTAATTCCTATTTTTCAACACTTAAAAACAAACTGGAATTACAATACCAACAATGAATCCCATTAAAAATCCCACATGGAAAAGTATGTGTAGACACACTATCTAAAAGCCAAGCCCATTCCTCTCCCTCCCCCATCCTTGCTCCCCTGCCCGCTTGCAAACAAAGAAAAGCTCATTTACCATTTCAACAGATCCGTCCCCTGGGTAATACAAAAGCTCATACCGGCGATAAAGTGAAGCGTTTGGATCGTACCACTCTGTGATGAAAACGAATCTTTCACTCTGATTCTGCAAGGAAAAGGAAGATTTTAGCATTAATGCATAACATATAGGTACCCTTGTAGAAATCATATACACCGAAAACAAGAGTTACCAAATAAGTGCAACAACCCATCTGTTATACTTATATTGAATTATTCTGTTTTCTACAATATATCAGTTATCAAAACACCCTCAGATATGTGCCCCTAATTTATTAAATATCCTTAGACATTTTGAACATGGCTTAAGAACCGCTTGATACCTCACAGCCACCCAGTCTTTCTGAGTAAATCAACCATGTTTAAAACACCTTTTAGAACTGTAATAATTCATTCCTACCAAAAGCAAGTTTACACACACAGAGACAATCAATAAACTGCCTTAAAAAAACAAATTCTGAGTGATTAGCTCACAATTACATAAAGCTTTATCTTTCCTAAATTTAATTTCTAACAGTACTAGCATATTATTATAACTAAAATCATAGTAAACTAGAGGCCCAGTGCATGGATTTGTGCACCAGTGGGGTTGCTTGGCCTGCCCTGTGCCCTCTCACAATCCAGGACACTTCAGGAGATGTCGGACTGCCGGTTTCAGCCAGATCCCCACAGGCCAGGCTGAGGGACTACACCAGTGCACGAATCTGTGCACCAGGCCTCTAGTATGCATATAAAATCATTGGTTAATCTCTTCATACCTTCCCCTTTCTCCCCTTCCCTCTGAGGTTCCATGTTTCCATGCCTGTGCACTGACCATTTGCTCCCTGGTGTCAGTGTGTGTCATAGCTACTGGTTGAAAGGTCAAACCGTCACTTAGGCTTTTATAATAGACTCGTGGCCCAGTGCACAAAATTCATGCACTTGGGGAGGAGTGCCCCAGCCTGGCCTGTGTCCTGTCACAGTGTGGAAGCCCCGTGATCCATCGCCCCAAAGAGGTAGGCCCCGCCCACCCACCTGGGGCTCTTCAATGGATTGCCACAAAGAGGTAGGCCGGAGCCGGTGGTCTTGCCTCCATGCCACAGGACCCCCAGGACTCGCTGTGTGGAGCCGAGGGACCCCCAGGCCTCACAGTGCAGAGGCCTCTGGACCCCCAGCGCTGTGTGGAGGCCTCCAGGCCCCAGGCCTCCTGGTGATGGATTGTGACGATATGATGCAAGTCCCTGATGCTGCAAGTCCCCGCCCACCTATGCCTGCTGTGCACACAGCCTGCTGACTGGCCATTACACATGAGGGTGTCCCAACCATTTGCATATTACCCTTTTATTATAATAGTATAGATACCTTTCCTCTCCTTAGTAATTTTACCTGATAGTATATTTTTATTATATATATATAATTGATTTCAGAGAAGCAGAGTGAGAGAGAGATAGACTCAGCAATGATGAAAGAGAATCATTGATCAGCTGCCCCTCACTGGGATTAAGCCCACAACCTTTGGGCATGTGCCCTGAACGGGAATCAAACCATGACCTCCTGGTTCATAGGCTAACGCTTAACCACTGAGCCATGCCAACTGGGCTGACAGCATCTTTTTATAGATAATGTAGGAGAATGTGTAAGTCTAGGTCTCTGAGAAGCAGATGAGATGCCATGAAGGAGGATTCTCCTGCCAGTGAGAAGGGGGAGGAACCGGGGTAGCTGAGGACCTCAGGACAAGTCCGACCCTGAACGGAGGACAGAGTGGGGGGCTCCATGGGATCCTCCTGGACTGATGGCCGGCTGGGGAAGGCTCAGCACAACCACCAGAGAGGAAGTGCCTGAGCCAATTGGCCCTCAGAGTGTTCCTGCCTTCCAGGGCATCCCTGCTCCTCCTGGGCCCTGGCTGGGCACCCTTGGAAAGCCCGCCCTGTGCGCTAACTGCAAAGCAGCCCGATCACAGAGCACAGGGGCAGGGGCCCCTGGTCATCCAAGTTCCCTCTAGTTGGAGGTCTGCCAGGGGCAGTTATGAAAAAACAAGTCTAAGATGGGCCCTCCCTCCTTGACTATTTAGCAGTATTTCCCATCAAACATATTATTAAAAATGTCTTAGCTCCCAAAGCCTTTCATTGCAATAGCAAAATGAAGAGGGATGAAAAAAGGAATCTATGAGTATTGTTGCTAATTCTGGATTTAATGTCTGAGTCTCAGGTTAAGGTATATGGATGTTGATAATTCACTTATAAATGTTATGTTTATAATTATACTCATATTTATATAGTTGTTTTTTAATATATTTTATTGATTTTTCACAGAGAGGAAGAGAGAGGGATAGAGTTAGAAATATTGATGAGAGAGAAACTTCGATTAGCTGCCTCTTGCACACCCCCTGCTGGGGATGTGCTTGCAAGCAAGGTACATGCCCTTAACCAGAATCGAACCTGGGACCTTTCAGTCTGCAGGCCGATGCTCTATCCTCTGAGCCAAACAGGTTTTGGCATATAATGTAGATAGTTTTTAACACACTATTTCATTTCCCCCATAATCATCCATAAATGATACATTAAACAATGCTTTAATATATATATATATATATATATATATATATATATATATATATATATATTATTGATTTCAGAGAGGAAGGGAGAGGGTAAAAGAGATAGAAACTTCAATGATGAGAGAGAAACATTGAATGGGGCTACTTCCCGTATATCCCCTACTGAGGATTGAGCCCACAAACCCAGTCATGTGCCCTGACCAGGGGGAATTGAACCATGACCTCCTGGTTCATGAGTCAATGCTCAACCACTGAGCTACACTGACCAGGCTAAATAATCTTATTAAGATGAAATAAAGGTAAAATAAAAGACAAACCATGAAATTTTAATAGTTATATATATATATATATATATATATATATATATATATATATATTTTTTTTTTTTTTTTTTATTGATTTTGTACAGAGAGGAAGGGAGAGAGATAGTTAGAAACATCGATGAGAGAGAGTCATCGATCAGCTGCCTCTTGCACACCCCCTACTGGGGATGTGCCCGCAACCAAGGTACATGCCCTTGACCGGAATCAAACCCAAGACCCTTCAGTCCCCAAGCCGACGCTCTATCCATTGAGCCAAACCGGTTTCTGCTGTAATAGTTTTTTATCAGACATTTTTACTTGATTCTTATAAATATAGACTTTTAAAGCTTAGGTTTCACTGTGCCTTCTAGTATTGTACTCTTTTAATATAAAATTTGAATATGAGTAGCTCATTAAATTTTTACTATCTATAATAAAATATTCATCCACTCAAAGACGTGACTGAACTAATGCCGTCACCCTAAAGTAAATACAGAAACTACAAAATGGAAGGAAGGAGGCACATCTCCTTCCCAGAAAGGGAAGGCGAAGGGCAGGCTGGGCAGGCCCATGGAAGGGGCCCCTGGCACCTCCACTGACCCGGGTAGCCTACCCATAGAACTGGCCACCATACCACTGGAATTCTGAGGCAGGTAGTCGAATTCTGCACATACATTATCCAGAAAACAGTATTCATATGAAGAATAAACTACTGTTTATGAGAACTATTGTTTCTGGCTGACAAAGCAGCTTATAGCAAACCCAAGGTATCTCCCCAGAATAACTAGAAAAGTGGGATACAAAACAACAACTAAAAACAAACCAAGAGTCCTCTCAGGTAGAGAGCAACCATGAGGGAGTCAGTAAGACAGGGTCGGTGAGAGAGGGCAGCTGTCTACCAGGTGCCGCTGAGCACCAAGAAGACCGTGACCATAAGAAATCAAAGGAGAACACTAACAGTGTAAAGAGCGAGAATCATTGGAGAGTTGTAGGAGGTCATGGGAGCTCTTTTATAAGTTTCTGACACCTGCATTTAAGATGTGTTCTACCAGGCCCGGGCAAGGGAGTCACTCAGAGTCAGTACATGATTCCTAAGGAAGGAAATTAGTTCATGGAACAGAAGGGTGTCCGTGGCAGAGACAAGACACACGGGCCACAGTATTAAGACATGGTGGTGTGGGTTCAAAGACATAGTGGATGTTGGCCTGGAAATGTCTTTATTTCGCCTCCATTAATTTGCAGGGGGGGGGGGGATTTTTTTTTATTTTTTTATTTATTTTTTATTATTGGTTATAGTGTTTTAAGATGAAAGAGCAACGGAGATGAGTGGTGGTATGGTTGCACAATATTGAGTGTATTCAATACCACTGAATTGTACACTTACAATGGTTAAGATGGAAAATTTTATGTTTTGTATTTGACACAATAAAAAAAAAATGGGGGAAACAGACCACAGATGACCCGACAGTCCATTCATGCACTGACTTATTCATTCCCCAAATATTTTTCAACTGTTTATCTGGTGCCAAGTTTTGTGGTACATTCTTTAAATTCCAAGAAACAATACCTGACTTCAAGGAGGTCAATGCTATAAAACCCAAATATGTAAGCAAATCGTTACAGGCCAACATGGCGAGAACAGTAACAGTGCAGAGCTCGCACTTTCCATTGGGTACTTGCTATGTGCTAAGTTCACAGATCCAAACCTTTACGTATTTTATACAACATTATGAGAGAGATGGCATTATGTCAGTGTAAAGATGATGAAACGAAGGCTCAGGTAAGTTAAAAGACATGTCCAGGATGACATAGCTTATACACAGGTGAAACCGGCCGGCTTGATGCCAGACCCCGTGCTCTTAACCACCCTCCTGCGAGAGGGGACGGCACTGAGAGACCAGGGCTAGCAGGCTCACGGGCTGCTCTGCTTGCTGGGTGTCCAGAACCTGAAGTGAAACCCTCCAATGTAATCTCCCGTGAGAGCAGATCTTAGAAAGCAACAGGACAACAACGACAATCGGGCCACGCTGTCAGAATTGTCGTTCTATCCACGCGCCGAAAGGTGTGTGTGGCACTCTCTGGTGCCGTATTTCAGGAAAAAACTCCTTCACAACAGGCCGCCAAACAGTTCTGTTCTTACGGAACTGCTTCCTTGCCCAAATCGCACTGGAACGGATTCAAATACTACCTCACAGAGAACGGTGTGAAGCTAACCAGAAATCTGATTTTCAGAATTTGCATGATTGAGAG